CATTAACTAACAGTGAAGTAGTGTCTCAAATAACAGATTTTAGGAGATACATGTACAACATAATTCTAATTCCAGCGCCTCCCCCAAGGTCTAAGTTCTAGAATGGATGTGCAGGAAAAATGTTCATTGTAAATTCTTTGTGTGATTTAAACTGCATTTGGACAGAAAACTATATCACTAACTAATGAAATCATTTTACTTTTTGCATAAAGTTATTCGTGAAAAGGGAAAGGGGAGCAGAAACTATTGTGCTATGCAGCTATTGTAAATTCACACCGACATTCAACAATAGGCTATGCCGAGGGACGCCATACTATCGTACAAAGCTCTACCGGACATGACGTAACTGACCTGGATATCAAAGGACAGAACTGAACAAAATTCAAGAGATAATTGACAAACAAGTAGTATGTAACATAGAGAAAATACTGTCAAGATATATACTGGAGTGTTTTACTCATTAATATGTATCTTATTGCAGGACTGGAAGGTGGTAGGGACCAAGCTCGAGTACTGTGGGAGGCGGGCTTTCCTGCGTCTCCCGGGGTGGACAACAACACGGCTATCCCAGAAACGCGGCCGACTGTAGATGAGGAGAGTGCAGCAGGAGGGAGGAAAGTGAAAGTACAAAGACATGAATTAAAAGACGGAATTAGAAAGAAGATGATGGCGCGAAGAAAATACACCAAAGGCACAAGTGTAAACGGTGTCTATAAGGCGAAAAACGGTGAAGGGAAGATAGAGATAAGGCATAGACACGAGCCTCTAATGCCACAGGATAACAGCAGCAGACAGGTGAATCTAAAGAGAACAAGATCGATGAAGATGAAGAAGGAAGGAGGAACTAACAGAGTACTGCCACTGAAGACCAAGGATCGGGACTCTACTCAGCAGAAGCAGACGGTGACACTAGGAGGTGAAGGCACGACCACCACGACTAGGCTGGGGAAGATGAAGCAAGAGGCAGCAACGACTACAGTGGAAGGGGTGTGGACGGGGGAGGAATGAGGCGATGGCAAATGGCGGGCAAGCTGCAAGGAGGTGTGGCCAGGCAGGGGGGGTGTAGCTGCAAGCAAGGAGGTGTGTACAGGCAGGGGGTGTAGCCAGGCAAGGAGGTGTGGCCAGGCAGGGGGTAGCCAGGGGCAAGGTGGCCAGGCAGGGGGGTGTAGCCAGGCAAGGAGGTGTGGCCAGGCAGGGGGGTGTAGCCAGGCAAGGAGGTGTGGCCAGGCAGGGGGGTGTAGCCAGGCAAGGAGGTGTGGCCAGGCAGGGGGGTGTAGCCAGGCAAGGTGTGGCCAGGCAGGGGAGTGTAGCCGGGCAAGGAGGTGTGGCCAGGCAGAATGAAGGAGACTACTACTACTATGAGTATAATTATGAAGGTAAGTCTACAGGTTCTTGAGGGTATACCTAAAAAAAACCTTCCCTTAAACCACTGTCATTAAACCGGACTTGAATTCCTGAGTCAAGTGCTTGTCTGCTTCCTCAGCATCTTGTATAGTCTTTATGATATACTCCTGTTAGCCTTTATTATAAATTCAACATTTATCTTACAATTTTGAATTTCTAATTTTTAAAACCAATAATATTTACTTAATACAAATATTGTCAAAAATATTCATAAGGTTATCAGAGGTCTACTTTGTGTTAAAGTTAATCTTGAAAAAAGTATTGCATTAGGCACCGAAATTTATTAATATTATCCTATGGCTGTTTTAAACTTAGGGTTTTGCATTGAAACTATTTGCCTGAATGAAGATTGAAAGTATAAAGATTTTTTTAAGCATTATGTCACGGGTCACCTGGTCAATGTTAAATGCTTCTTTTGCGGCAACATATTTTTCGATTATTCTTTGATAAAATAGGTGTGTTTCATTATTTTTCGGCGTAACAATAAGTTTTTAACACGAGACTTGAAACCTGTAGTTGTAACTTAGACGGGTGCTTTACCTCTGGGCTGGTCCAGTAAACCTAAGTGACAATAAATAAGGTTCAGAATGTATGACACTATTTCCTGTACTCGCAGACACTAACGCTGAGGGACAAGAGGGTGACAATGTCGACGGGGAAGAGTACGACGTTTATGAAGACACTGGTACAGGAGAAGGGAGGACTATGACGAGCCCGAAGGAGATGGAAGTGACTATGTTGAGACTACTACAGGAGAGGGAAGCGATTATATTGAGACTCCAGCAGAAGGAAGTGACGATAACGAGACTGCAGGAAACGAAGGTGAAGGTGTTGAGGGAGGCACAGAAGGTGACTCGGGTACTGAGGGGCAAGCAGGCGATGGTGGCGACGCCGAGGAGTACGATGCGTATGAGGACACTGGCACAGAAGAAGGAAATGACAACGACGGAGCCACAGGAGATGAAGGTGAAGGTATTGACGGAGGCACAGAAGAAGGCGACTCGGGTACTGAGGGTCAGGCCGGAGAGACTGCAGGTGGTGTCGTCGAGGAGGAGTTTGAGAACCAAGACGCTACAGGAGACGCTATTGATCAAGTAACAGGAGAGACGGACGTGGAGTTCGTCACTGTGTTCGTGGAAGGTGAGGGAAAAATATTTGTTCGGTAGCAGCAACAGGCGGGAACACTGGGTGGTGAATGAACACTGGGTGGTGAATGAACACTGGGTGGTGAATGAACACTGGGTGGTGATGGAACAATGGGTGGTGAATGAACACTGGGTGGTGATGGAACAATGGGTGGTGATGGAACACCGGGTGGTGATGGAACACTGGGTGGTGATGGAACAATGGGTGGTGATGGAACACTGGGTGGTGATGGAACACTGGGTGATGGAACACTGGGTGGTGATGTGGAACAATGCGGTGATGGAACAATGGTGGTGATGGAACATCAGTGGTGATGGAAACAATGGGTGGCAGGATGGAACAATGGTGGTGATGGAACACTGGTGGGTGATTGAACAATGGGTGGTGATGGAACACTGGGTGGTGATGGAACAATGGGTGATGATGGAACAATGGGTGGTGATGGAACACTGGGTGGTGATGGAAACAATTGGGTGAATGAACATGGTGTGATGGAACAATGGGTGGTGATGGAACACTGGGTGGTGATGGAAAACACAGGGTGGTGATTGAACATTGCGGTGATTGAACATTGGGTGGTGATGGAACAATGGGTGGTGAATGAACAATGGGTGGTGATGGAACACTGGGTGGTGGATGGAACAATGGGTGGTGATGGAACAATAGGTGGTGATGGAACACTGGGTGGTGATGGAACACAGGTGGTGATTGAACATTGGGTGGTGATGGAACAATGGGTGGTGATGGAACAATGGGTGGTGATGGAACATGGTGGTGATGGAAACACTGGGTGTATGGAAACACAGGTGGTGGATTGAACATTGGGTGGGTGATTGAACATTGGGTAGATGGAACACTGGGTGGTGATGGAACACTGGGTGGTGATGGAACACTGGGTGGTGATGGAACAATGGGTGGTGATGGAACAATGGGTGGTGATGGAACACTGGGTGGTGATGGAACAATGGGTGGTGATGGAACACTGGGTGGTGATGGAACACTCTTTTCTTATAAATTTCTAAAGATCTGAAAAACTGATCTATTGAGAAAAAATAAATATTCTGTTCAGTAGAGTGGCAATCAAGTTATTACATGTTTAAAAAAAGTGCACGTTAAAACACAACACTTTTCTTTAGTGATCTGTAACTTAATGTTTATTTCCATGTGCGTTCTTTTCCAGTGCCTAACTTAATCTCCTTTTCTTACCCTAGATTCCACTACGACTGTACCACCAGATGGCTCCACCACCATCTCAAATGAACTGACCACTACAACTCCTACGACCTCAGTTACGACCACCAATGAACCAACTACTACAAGCATGACAACCACGACCACAAGTACCACCACATTATCGACATCCACGATTCCTTCAACTACGACTTCTACAACGACTATGACAACTACTACTACTCCTCGTCTGTCTACCCCGCTGACGACTACACTGGGGACCTACAGTGAAGGGAATCGATGGATATGGAGGTCTCGAAACCGTTCACAGCAGCCAACAACCACAACCCAGCTTCCCATTTTCACCAATAGCGGTTTTGGTGTGTTCGTTAATGTCGCCGGGCAAAACAACAACGGGATCGGGCAGTCCAACAACGGCTTTGGACAAATTGATACTAGTGTCAGGCAAACCAACAACGGTTTTGGGCAGACCAGTAGACTAAAACTTGAAGGGGTTAATGGGGAGGCAAATACACCAGATGCAAAGACCGGCACATTGAGTCCACCAAGAAATATGCTCCTTGGAACCTTAATTCAACATTACTCCAGTGGAAAAAAGGCAAGTATCACCAACCCGAGCCCTACGAGCAATGGTAATCAGGGCGCACCAACCAACAGGCTATCGGGCACTGCAGCTCCCGGGTATATGATGCCACAAAAATTACCATTCACAGTGTCAGCCCCAACTGACAGACTGGCAACTACGCAGCAAACACAGTCTCAATTAGGCTCTCCGAGTTCCAATAAAGAAAGGATCAGAGATGGAACTTGGCAATGGCAATCAAAGTTCCAGGAGAAGAATAATCCTGGAGTGCCACAGTCTGGGACCTCAAGCTACTCGGCCAACACCCACAGGAGGCCCATCAATACCGCTTCGAGGATGTGGACCTGGAATTGAGCTAACCTGGAAGAGTTACGTTAGAGAGACACTCATCCCATGTCTGGCAAATTCAAAGCCTTTGTTAATCACTTTTATGTTGTTATTTTATAACATTTATAACATTTTATAAGCCATGTAAGTAAATATTTCTACTATAGTATAACCAAAAGGCATCAGCCCCTACGATGGTTTTCACGAGCACATTATCATATAAAAGTTAGTGCCTCGTGCTGTTGATCTCGGCTAGTTGGATAGTAGTCACTAGGAGGCTAATTTAACGAGGTGCAGCACCGTATTACGTTTCATTTGACACCAACGTCTTATATATATATATATATATATATATATATATATATATATATATATATATATATATATATATATATATATATATATATATATATATATATATGCAAATAAATCACTGTAGGTGAATTACACACGAGCTAGGAACTTCGTGTTTTTTTCTTGTGGTTATCAGCATATATATATATATATATATATATATATATATATATATATATATATATATATATATATATATATATATATATATATATATATATATATATTATTGTTCAGACAAAGTAAGACTATTGAAGCAGTAGTCGTGGACACTTACTGTTCTGCTGCCTGGCTGGCGGACATGCGCTCTTGTCATCTTCCTGCGGAGAAACATCTTTGAGAATATCTGACACACACACACATATATGTAAACATGCATACACTTTATATTGAAGGAAAAAATCAAGTTTTATTACAGATGTAACAGATCACACAGTCAGGGCTTTAGTATACTTTGAGAAGAGTGAATATTTGGACTGACTTGAGTATGAAGTGAGCACTACACAAATACTAAGTACATTCAGTGAAGCATTCCCACAACAAATGTTGGTTAAAATTGGGTTTACCTTTATTTAAAATCTTTGTACAATGTAATTGAAATATTATTTACCACGAAAGTTAGGAAGAAGCAAGAAACTCGGTGAAAAAAATTTCAGGTGTCTCACCTGTGAGGCTGTAGTGTGTATTTAATTCTGATGATGCACAGTACAGAGCACAGTAACTTAGAATTAATAAAAATAACAATCATGTTACCTTTCACTCTGTACCTCAGTTCACGCTTATATTTTAAGTGTTTATTTGTTTCTTCATTTTCTCATTTTAAACGTTACGTAACGTAACCTAACCAACTATTTCATATAAGCATAAAGATACTTACTCCGTCTTAATTTAAGCATCGGTTCTAAGGCTTTAGTTTACCCGACCATCTCTAACACAATTTTCATCCAAAGAAAATGGACCCCAATACCAGAAACGCAAAAAGAGTTATAATGTCAAATTCTCTACTTTTTTGTTGTACGAAATATATAAAGAAATAAAAATATATCCCAATAATTCCATTCGTATAAATTCATTCTAAAGGTGACCATAAAGCAAATCTCTGGAGCCTTCACTTCAGTTTAATTTATTAATAATAAATAGGTCCTGTAACGTAGAGTTTACATTACCTCAACCATTTTTACATTATTAAACACGTATTTTTAGTTTTTATACTATTTTACCCACGATGAAACTTTAATATATTTCACCTGTAGAAAATAATAAATATTTGATGGAAAAATAAAATATATAACAGTTTGAGCATGAAAATGAAGACATCAAAGAATATGATATACTTTATGGGGTAACACCAGAAAAGAGAGATATGCATGTTGTGTGTAACCACTATTGCTGAGCTCATGGATTCAAGTCCTGCTTAGCCCCGACATATGGGAATGGCGTTACCAAGTGTGACTACCAAACATCACAGGTTTCCTCCGAGTGTTGTAACGGGGTCAAGTGAGAACTCATTCAAGTAAAAGTGTACTAACGCTGGACAGAGTTAATAACAAACAACAGACCAATAGCCCGAATGGTTAGTAAGCTGACGAGCAGTGAAGTGATTAAGAAATAAATAAATAAATATCTGGTAATTCGCTAAGTGAGCTGCCAAATGAACAGAAAGACCAGTGATCGTTAGTCTTACCCCTAGTAGAAAATATCCGGGACATGTGCAGGAAGCGGTGTCACGTGGGCACTAATACAGCCAATTGTCGATATTGTGTGACATTATATTAAAAGTTAAATTAAATTGTGTATTATATGTTGGTGTAATAATCATAAAAATAGCTAAAAAAATAAAATGTTGTACACAGCTAACTAATATGAATCATGTACACCCTTAAGCTTGTCATCCTATACTAGCTTTTATCTTTCTATTTCCACAATAAAAATGCAAAACAATCGTATGAACCTTTAAATTATATACATTGCTACGAAGTTTATCCTCAAAATAAAAAAAAACTAGGCTAGGAATATTCCTGTTAATTTAATCTGTTTCTGTAGTTCAGGAGCAAGTTTTCTTCCTTATCGCCAGCCAGGAAAGTGACCACAAAAGTTTCTTCTCACGTTTATATTTAACGCAATACAAAGCAAGAGTCTTTAAAGGCACCCATCTTGTTATTGTTCTGGTTTGACTCCGGCTGCTAGACTGCGGTTATATCCCGTCTGGTAAACACATTTCTTAAAAATTGCTGATACAATAACTGCTGCTGCTGATAGTCGAAAGCAAAAATTACCGGTACACGTGCCCGAGTGACGCAAACTTTATGTAGAGATTAAAAGGTAGCACGAGGCGGGTTTTGGAGCACCTGCTTATGTGTGTGTTGGTGTAAGGAAGACTTTTATTGTGTGTACATCTGTGGGTTTTAAAAAACAGCGATATGACATCTATGAACCCTTCAACTAAAACATTTACCTTATTAAAATGGGGTGGGTGAAATAATTAAGTGTTTAAAGGTAAGTTGATGGCACTGATATTCCGGCTCATAAGCACACCCCAAATGTTTTGTTCACACACACACACACACACACACACACACACACACACACACACACACACACACACACACACCTTCGAACCCTGAAATAACCCATTATGACTAAGGTAAATTTGTCAGGAAATACAACACTGAAATAACACGGGAACCTTCCTTTAATCTCCCTCACCCCGTCTACCTTCTTCTCTGGTCTTAATAAAGTCATGTCTATATACCTCGCTGGCCTGCCTCGTTCGCCTCTGTATTGAGATCGAGTAAAGCAAGATGTGATATGGTATTTCTTTCATGGGTAGTATTTGGCTATTTAATTGTCCGGTGGGGAGTAGTATAGGGAGGATTTGTCCGGTGGGGAGTAGTATAGGGAGGATTTGTCCGGTGGGGAGTAGTATAGGGAGGATTTGTCCGGTGGGGAGTAGTATAGGGAGGATTTGTCCGGTGGGGAGTAGTATAGGGAGGATTTGTCCGGTGGGGATTTGTCTGGGGAGGAATTGTTCTTTGGGGAGTTAGCTGGGGAGGGGATGTGTCGGGTGAAAACGTCTTGCTAACACTTGACATACTTTTTAAAGACCACAATTTGTTCTGTGTTTTTTTTCTTAATTAAATAATCGTCAGTTTTAATATTTGTATAAAATTGTCCGTCAGCTGGGTTCTGATACATGTAATGACAACTGAAACTACAATAGGGAAATATTCTAGCAATTATTATTAAATACTCGGGATCACCTGAAGATTACCCCTCGGCTTAGTCCATTTGAAGATTACCCCTCAGCTTAGTCCACAGGAAGATTACCCCTCAGCTTAGTCCACCTGAAGATTACCCCTCAGCTTAGTCCACCTGAAGATTACCCCTCGGCTTAGTCCATTTGAAGATTACCCCTCAGCTTAGTCCACAGGAAGATTACCCCTCAGCTTAGTCCACCTGAAGATTACCCCTCAGCTTAGTCCACCTGAAGATTACCCCTCAGCTTAGTCCACCTGAAGATTACCCCTCAGCTTAGTCCACCTGAAGATTAACTAGACCTTAACCTACCCCCTCCTCCACCCCCCAGTAGCGTTAGGGTGGTTAATCATCAGGTGAAATAATCTACAAGGAGAGGATGGGAGAAACAACAGGTGATCATACAGGCTTCAACTAGTGAAGTAGAGATAAACTTCAAAACAACAACACTGATAACCGCATGAGAGTGTGAGGCGCCACACTCGTCCGTCCTACACATGACGGCTGCCTCGGGGTTTTTTCTGTACCCTCGTTATCGTTGTTATCAGCAGACTTATGCAACGGTTACTGTGCACTATAAACACAACACTTACACCAAGAAAAGATAGTGTGACTGTGCTATTAATAAAAATACTGAGGTTCTCATGAAATAAAAACGCTCCTCAAATTACTGATCAATATCTTATCTTTGACATCTATAATTATACACGCTCGCGGCTGTTTATCATAGGATATAGAGGTCACCAAGGCATTACTTTATCAGTTACACTAAGCAGTGAAGCATACAGCACATACTTAATAAATTAATGTGACAGCACCTCAACAAAACACACACCCACACAAACACACACACATATATATATATATATATATATATATATATATATATATATATATATATATATATATATATATATATATATATATATATATATATATATATATATATATAATGAAACCAACATTGACAAAACATTTTAGTTTATTTGATGGCGACAGTTTCGGGTCAGTCTGTCTCTATCTTCAGGCAAATTACACAACCAAACCATATATGGCGTATAAGAGAGAGAGAGAGAGAGAGAGAGAGAGAGAGAGAGAGAGAGGCGTTGTGTCAAGACTTAGATACCAAGATAAAGGTATGTGGATAAGAGAGTTGGTGCGATCCTCACTAGACCAGCTCAGTGTGTCAAGGTACACACGCTGCCTTATCTCTACTGTGGGAGGAGAGGTGAGGTAAGGGGGAGGGCATAGCAGTATAGAAGAGAGGTGTGTCTCCCATGACCTCTCTATCGTTATCTAAGTGGGATGATGAGCGGAGGTCGGGAGCGATATACATAGTAAGGTTTCCTCCAGATGTGAACAAGCAATTTTACATGTTGGAAAAACAGTGTGGCGTCAACTGTGAGCACTTGACATGGCCTCTTGAACAAACAACTAACAACTTGATGAACAGGATTGATATCAGTCAGATAATGTGGATAACCTAACCTATCCTATCCTAACCTAACCTAACCTAACCTAACCCTACCCCCCCGCCTACAAAGCTACGCTGAGCTGTGGTGGACCAAATCTAGTCCCCGTTATCTCCGCCTCTTATCTTCTCTCTTATCTTTTTGTTCTCATTCTCTTACTTATTTAATAGTATTTTTTTTCCTATCTCAACCAAGCTGATACGTAGCTGAGTGACCCGTGTGTGTGTGTGTGTGTGTGTGTGTG